ATGGGAAATAATGGGAAATAATGGGAAATAATGGGAAATGGGAAATAATGGGAAATAATGGGAAATAATGGGAAATAATGGGAAATAATGGGAAATGGGAAATGATGGGAAATAATGGGAAATAATGGGAAATAATGGGAAATGGGAAATAATGGGAAATAATGGGAAATAATGGGAAATGATGGGAAATGATGGGAAATGATGGGAAATGATGGGAAATAATGGGAAATAATGGGAAATAATGGGAAATAATGGGAAATAATGGGAAATAATGGGAAATGGGAAGGGAGGTGCTGGGATTTCTGGGAAGGGAAAGGTGGGGTGAAGTGAGAATGGGAGGGGAAGGTTGGGAATGAGACAAAAGTGATGGGAATGGGATAAAAAACACTGGGAAAGAAACAGAAACATTGGGAATGAAACAAACATTGGGAAGGAAACAAACACTGGGAAGGAAACAGAAACATTGGGAATGAAACAAACATTGGGAATGAAACAGAAACATTGGGAATGAAACAGAAACGCTGGGAATGAGACAAAAATGCTGGGAAGGAAACAAAAATACTGGGAATTAAATAAAAACACTGGGAAGGGAACAAAAACGCTGGGGATGAAACAAAAATGTTGGGAAGGAAACAGAAACACCAGGAAGGAAAAGACAGGAATGAAACAAAAACATTTTGTTTCCAGGAGGGAAACAAAAATGCCAGGAAAGAAACAAAACCCTGGGAAGGAAACGCTGGGAATGAAACAGAAACAGGGAGGGAACAAATCTTTGGGAATGAAACACTGGGAATGAAACAGAAACACTGGGAATGAAACAGAAACACTGGGAATGAAACAGAAACAGGGAGGGAACAAAACTTTGGGAATGAAACACTGGGAATGAAACACTGGGAATGAAACAGAAACACTGGGAATGAAACAGAAACAGGGAGGGAATGAAACACTGGGAATGAAACACTGGGAATGAAACACTGGGAATGAAACAGAAACACCAGGAAGGAAACGCTGGGATGGAAATGCCAGGAATGAAACAAAAAACGCCGGGAAGGAAACAAAAATGCTGGGAATGAAACAAAACTCTGGGAAGGAAACAAAAATTCCGGGAAGGAAACGGTTCCAACCAACCCCAAAGGGAAAAATCCAGCAGCACCTGCCCCGTGCCAGGCCAAATCCTGCCTCTCCCAGGGCAGGGAGGACGGGGAAGGCGCCGGGCGCGGAAAGCTCCGGAACTCTTGGCTTCACCCCCTCCCTGTGTCCCCGCAGAGCCCTCCCAGTCTTGTTCTCCTTCAAAGTGCCCAATATTTATAGGATTCCTAAATAAATAGAACGCGCTAGCGGGTCACCGGGGGGGGCTACTCCGAGTAGCAGCCGTCCAGGCCGAGGGCGTTGTGGCGCTCCTTGGAGTAGGGGCAGGAGGAGCCGTTGGGGAGGGCCCCGCACGCCGCCGCCGCCGCCTTGGCCGCGATGCCGCAGTTCTTGAGGAGGTTGAAGCTGAAGGAGCCGATGGCGTCCTTGGGGGGGAAAGGCTTCATGGTGGAGAGGATAAGTGCCAGGCAGTCGGCCACGTCCTTGTTGGGGGCACAGGCCAGAGCTGGGGTGTGACCTGAAGTGGGGGGAGGTGATGGAGGGGTTATTGGGGNTGTGGTCATTCCCAGCTGTCCCATCGCTCCAAAGTCACTCTCCAGATTTCCCGCAGCCCCTCTGGGCACTGGAAGTTCTCCCTGGAGCCTTCCCTTCATCCAGGCTGCCCCACAAACTCATCCCAATCACCTGCCACCATCCCAGGCTGCTCCCAGCCCCGTCCAACCCAGCCAGGCATGGAAATGTGCCTGGGAATTGAGAGAGGAGCTCCCCAGGAAAAGCACGGAGAGCCAAAACTGCCCAGGGGGACGCCTGGAGGTGCCACCCAGCCCAGAATTTCTGGGGTAAAACAACCCAGGGGCTCCAAGGCCTGGAATTTCTGGGGTACAACTCCCCTTCCAGGGGCTCCATGGCCTGGAATAGCTGGAATTATTTTTGGGGTAAAAAATCCCCTTTCAGTACATCCCAATGATTCCAGAGCCTGGAATTTCTGGGGTAAAAAAAAAACCCTTTCAGCACATCCCAGAGATTCCAAAGCCTGGAATTGCTAGAATTATTTTTTGGGGTAAAACTCCCCTTTCAGCACATCCCAGAGATTCCAAGATCTGGAATTACCAGAATTATTTTTTGGGGTAAAACTCCCCTTTCAGCACATCCCAGAGATTCCAAAGCCTGGAATTTCTGGGGTTAAAAAAAAAAACCCTTTCAGCGCATCCCAGAGATTCCAACACCTGGAATTGCTAGAATTATTTTTGGGGTAAAACTCCCCTTTCAGCACATCCCAGAGGTTCCAAAGCCTGGAATTTCTGGGGTTAAAAAAATCCCCTTTCAGCACATCCCAGAGATTCCAAAGCCTGGAATTTTTGGGGTAAAAAAACCTTTTTCAGCACATCCCAATGATTCCAAAGCCTGGAATTTCTGGGGTAAAAAAACCCTTTCAGCACATCCCAGAGATTCCAACACCTGGAATTGCTAGAATTATTTTTGGGGTAAAACTCCCCTTTCAGTACATCCCAGAGGTTCCAAAGCCTGGAATTTCTGGGGTAAAAAAACCCGAATTTCTGGGGTAAAAAAACCCTTTTCAGAACACCCCAATGATTCCAAAGCCTGGAATTTCTGGGGTAAAAAAAACCCCTTTCAGCACATCCCAGAGTTTCCAAGACCTGGAATTTCTGGGGTTAAAAAAAACCCTTTTCAGCACATCCCAGAGTTTCCAGAGCCTGGAATTTCTGGGGTAAAAAAAACCCTTTCAGCACATCCCAGAGTTTCCAAGACCCGGCGTTATTTGGGGGCAAACCCAACCCTAACCCTATCCCCACCTTGCTGCAGGCCAGGTGAAGAGCTGTGTTCTTGTTGACATCCAGCACAGTAATATTCGCTTTCGCTTGGAACAGCAGGAACTCTGCAACGAGGAGGAGGAGGAGGAAGAAGAGGTGAGGAAGAGGCTAAAAAACCCCCCCAGATGAGGAGCACAGCCGTGTCCCCGTGGCACCCACCCACTGCTGCCGTGTGCCCGTTCTCTGAAGCCACCATGAGGGGGGTCCTGCCCAGCTTGTCCGGGGTGTCCACCTCGGCCTGGTGGCGCAGCAGCAGCTGTAAACCATGGACGTTGTCTGCGAAGGCAGCAGCGTGAAGGGGTGTCCTGGAGAGCCCAAAAACAAACCAGGGCTGGGGTCAGCAGCAGCAGGGAAATGCTCTGGGGGTTCCTTTTGTGTTTTCCTGATTTTTGCATTGGTGGTTAATTTGAAATTCGTGTGAAGTGCAAGCGGTGATTTAGTGCTGGGGTTAAAAACTGGTTAGAAACGCTGGGTTAAACACGGAGTTGTTAAACGCTGTTAAAAATGTTGAACATTGGTTTTTGGGGTAAAAATCACCTTTTAGCACATCCCAGAGCCCCCAAGGATTGGAATTATTTTTGGGGTAAAAGTCCCCTTTTAGCACATCCCAGAGGCTCCAAGGATTGGAATTATTTTGGGGGTAAAAATCCCCTTTCAGCACATCCCAGAGGTTTCAAGGATTAGAATTTCTGGAATTATTTTTGGGGTAAAAATCCCCTTTCAGCACATCCCAGAGGTTTCAAGGATTGGAATTATTTTGGGGGTAAAAATCCCCTTTCAGCACATCCCAGAGGTTTCAAGGATTGGAATTTCTGGAATTATTTTTGGAGTAAAACTCCTCTTTCAGCACATCCCAGAGGCTCCAAGAATTGGAAATATTTTGGGGGTAAAAATCCCCTTTTAGCACATCCCAGAGCCTCCAAGGATTGGAATTATTTTTGGGGTAAAAATCCCCTTTCAGCACATCCCAGAGGTTTCAAGGATTGGAATTATTTTGGGGGTAAAAATCCCCTTTCAGCACATCCCAGAGGCTCCAAGGATTGGAATTATTTTGGGGGTAAAAATCCCCTTTTAGCACATCCCAGAGCCCCCAAGGATTGGAATTATTTTTGGGGTAAAAATCCCCTTTCAGCACATCCCAGAGCCCCCAAGGATTGGAATTATTTTTGGGGTAAAAATCCCCTTTTAGCACATCCCAGAGCCCCCAAGGATTGGAATTATTTTTGGGGTAAAAATCCCCTTTTAGCACATCCCAGAGCCCCCAAGGATTGGAATTATTTTTAGGGTAAAAGTTCCCTTTCAGCACATCCCACAGGCTTCAAGGATTGGAATTATTTTTGGGGTAAAAATCCCCTTTTAGCACATCCCAGAGCCTCCAAGGATTGGAATTGCTGGAGTTATTTTTTGGGGTAAAACTCCTCTTTCAGAACATCCCAGGGGTTCCAAGGCCTGGAATTATTAAAGTGGAATTGAGGAGAGCAAACTGGGAGGATGGGACTCCACCACCTGGAGCTGTAATTGCACGATTCACCCCAATATGGAAATGGAATTTTGAATTTGGAAATGCACCAAAACTTATCAAAGTGTGAAAACTCCGGGCTCATTCTTACCCACGTTTTTTTTTAATAAATCCCTGTTTTATTCCTTTAACTCTGTCCAGAGCCATGCTCACCTTCCTTTGGCATCTCTGCTATTAACAATCTTGGCACCTAATGCTTCCACCAGCATTTCAGCAGTGCCGTCCTGGTTGTTAATTCTGCGGGAACAGGAGGAGAAGGGAAGTTAGGAAAGGGCTGGGGAGATCTGGGCTGACAGCAGAACATCCAGGGGCTCCAAGGATTTCAGTTATTTTTTGGGGAAAACATCCCTTTCAGAGGCTTCAAGGCCTGGAATTATTTCTGGGGTAAAAATCACCTTTCAGCACATCCCAGGGGCTCAAAGGCCTTGAGTTATTTGGGATAAAACTCCTCCTTCAGAGGCTCCAAGGCCTGGAATTATTTCTGGGATAAAATTCCCCTTTTAGCACATCCCGAAGGTTCCAAAGCCTGGAATTGTTGGAATTATTTTTGGGGTAAAACTCCCTTTTCAGCACATCCCAGAGGCTCCAAGACCTGGAATTTCTGGGGTAAAACTCCCTTTTCAGGGCCCCCCAGGACTGGAATTGTTTTTGGGGTGTCACTTACACTGCACAGTGCAATGGAGTAAAGGGGTTTCCTTCTAGGTACGCAAACGGGTTGTGTTCAAGTAACAATTCAAGACAATCTTCGTGCCCTGAGGAGAGAGGGACAGGCTTGGAGCAGTTTTCCCACTGAATCACAGAATCCCAGAGGTTGGAAAAGCATCGAGTCCAAGCTGGGAACGATCCCCAGCCCCGAGTGCCATGTCCTGGACACCTCCAGAGACGGAGACTCCAAACCAATCCCTTGCTTTGTAACTCCCAAATCCTTCCTCCCTTGCTTTGTAACTCCCAAATCCTTCCCATTCCGTACCTGGTGCTTCCTAAATCATTCCCATCCCTCACTGGCTGCTTCCCAAATCCTCCCCATCCCCTTCCCCATCCCTCGCTTGCTGCTTCCAAAATCCTTCCTCGGGCACCTCCAGGGATGGGGACTCCAAACCTCCCTGGGCAGCTCCAAAGCCTGACAGCCCTTTCCATGGAAAAATTCCTCCTGCTGTCCCTCCTGAATCTCTCCTGGAGGAATCTGGGGCTGTTCTTCTCATGCCGGTGTTCCCTGGGAGCAGAGCCCGGCCCCAGCCGGCCCCGCTCTCCCGTCAGGGAGGTGTGGGGTGAAAAGATCCCTCCTGAGCCTCCTTTTCTCCAGGCCCAGCCCTTTCCCAGCCCCCTCAGGACTTCTCCAGAGCCTTCTCCTGCTGCTCCAGCCCTTCCCCAGCTCCATTCCCATCTCCAGCCCCTCAATGTCTCTGTGGCCTCACGTTTCCCGCTCTTTTCCTCCCCTCACGTTTCCCGCTCTTTTTCTCCCCTCACGTTTCCCGCTCTTTTTCTCCCCTCACGTTTCCCGCTCTTTTTCTCCCCTCACGTTTCCCGCTCTTTTTGTCCCCTCACATTTCCAGCAGCCCAGAGCTGCACTCAGCGCTGGGGAGGCCTCAGCAGGACAAAAGAGCTTCCCAAAGATCCAGCGGCCCAAAAGAAGCGTCCAACCTTTCCCAGAGAATCCATTTCCCTGCTGGCAGCAGCCTGAGGAGGTTTTTAACCCCACACACGCCCTGAAGGCCTCCCAGTCACGCAGCCACCCTAAAACCCATCTCCCCATTTTAAAACCTCCCCTCAGGAGCCTGGCAGCGGGGAGCGAAGCGATTCCTGCCATCTTTCCCAGCAGCAGAACCGTGGGAGGCGAGGATCAGGACGAGGAAGAGGAGGGAGGCTCTCACCACTGTAAGAAGCCCAGTGCATGGGCGAGTAGCCGCTGTAGTCCACCACCGAGTCCAGCGGGTCCGTGGAGAGCGCGGCCTGCAGCAGCGTCCGCAGCACCTCCAGGTGGCCGCAGGCCGAGGCGAAGTGGATCGGGGTCCGGCCCTTGAAATCCCGGCACAGGACGAAGGCATCGTGGTCCAGCAGAGCAGCCAGGCAATCCTCACAGCCTGTCACGGCCTGCATCCATGGAATTCAGGGAATTACCACCTTGGAACAGACCCTTGAGGTCATGGAGTGCAGCCCCGACACCTCAACCAAACTTCTGCACATCCAGGCTTTTTATAAAAACATCCAGGGATGGTGACTCCGCTTTGTCATTTTTATGTTATCAGAAGCTGCACTCACTTCTCTGCATTCTGCTCTGCAGCACAGACAGGACAGAGCTCTCCTTTGCTTTTAGTTTTTACAAGTTTTTCCTTTTTTGGGATCTGTTCAAAGCTGCTCTGGACCGAAAACCCAGAAAAGCACCAGAGCTCCCACCTGGAGCCCAGCAGGGCCTGGGAGCTGCATTCCAGCACCAGAGGAACTGAACAGAGCCTGAGTGAGCCAAGCAAAGCAACCCCTGACAAAAAGGACTTCCTGAATTTGCCATCTCCTCAGAACCGTGAGAGGTATTATCATTAATATTATTAATTAATTAATAATTATTAATATTATTCCGTTTTTACGCTTGTTAAATAAACTGGGTTTTTTCCACTTTTCTCCCAGGAAATCTTTTCCCCAACCAGTTGGATTTGATTTCTGGAGGGACTCCATGTGGAGGCTTCTTCCCAAATTTGTCCTAAACCAGGACAGCCACACAGACTAAATTCTGTACCCCTATGGAATTACCAGCTTTTACAGGAATGAAATCCCTAAGAGTGGAAAGCAGCTCGTTTCTCATAAGAAACAATTCTAAGACTGCAAGAAACAATTCTAAGACTGCAAGAAACAATTCTAACACTGTTAGAAACAATTCTAACACTGGAAGAAACAATTCTAAGACTGTAAGAAACAATTCCAAGGCTGTAATAACCTACAGAAAGGTTGTTTACACAACTTAAGCACCTATAAAAAACTATCTCAAATCATTAAAAAAACAAAAAACCCACAAATAATAACTAAAAAGAGACACAAAGCATTTCTAGTAAAATGACCAAACTGTGAGGGGCAGCTTTAATTTGATTTTCTGGGGGGACTCCTATTTGGAAGTTCTCTCCCAAATTTGCCCTAAACCAGGACATCAACCAAAACAAAGCAGTGAGAGCTGCACCCTCAAAAAATTAAATTTCAGACGTGAAAATAAACCTTATCCTACTTCCCTATTAATTTCCCTATTAAAGGAGAGCGCTGTCCAACACAACAGCACATTTCTGGCCTTTTTCCCCGTTTTTCCCCCCTAATTCCACATCTCCAGAAGGGAAATTTGGGGGTTTTTTTTGTCTCCTCACCCCTCGGTGCAGCGCGGTGCGGCCCCTCTTGTCGGCGGCGTCGGCCGTGGATCCCTTCTCCAGCAGGAGGTGGACGCAGTCCACGTGGCCGTTCATGATGGCCAGCATCAGCGGGGTCCTGCCGCCGGGAAAAGGGGCTGGCTGCAGGATTCCAGGATTCCCCGGGAATGCTGCTCCCAGCAACAGCCTGGGAAGGTGTTGGGAGCGGCTGGAAGCGTCACCCCCTCGGCCAGCAGAGGCTGCTTGGGATTGCGGTTCTGCTTCTGGGGTAATCGGGATCGGCGGACACAGGAATGGCGAGGGATAATTGGGAATGGTGAGGGATAATCGGGAATGGTGGTGAGGGATAATCGGGAATGGTGAGGGATAATTGGGAATGGTGAGGGATAATTGGGAATGGTGATGGATAATCGGGAATGGTGGTGAGGGATAATTGGGAATGGTGAGGGATAATCGGGAATGGCGAGGGATAATCGGGAATGGCGAGGGATAATCGGGAATGGTGAGGGATAATTGGGAATGGTGAGGGATAATTGGGAATGGCGAGGGATAATCGGGAATGGTGATGAGGGATAATTGGGAATGGTGAGGGATAATCGGGAATGGTGAGGGATAATCGGGAATGGCGAGGGATAATCGGGAATGGTGAGGGATAATTGGGAATGGTGGTGAAGAACAATCAGGAATGGTGAGGGATAATCAGGGAATGGCGAGGGATAATCGGGAATGGTGGTGAGGGATAATTGGGAATGGTGGTGAGGAATAACTGGGAATGGTGGTGAGGAGTAATCGGGAATGGTGGTGAGGGATAATTGGGAATCATGGTGAGGGATAATTGGGAATGGTGGTGTGGGATAATTGGGAATGGTGAGGGATAATTGGGAATGGTGGTGAAGAAATAAGGAATGGTAGTGAGGGATAATTTGGAATGCTGAGGAATAATCAGGAATCATGGTGAGGGACAATCAGGAATGGTGGTGAGGGATAATCAGGAATCATGGTGAGGGATAATCAGGAATGGTGGTGAAGAACAATCAGGAATGGTGGGGAGGGATAATTGGGAATGGTGAGGGATAATCAGGAATGGTGGTGAGGGACAATCAGGAATGGTGGTGAGGGATAATCAGGAATGGTGGTGACACCTCTGGGATCAGACATTTGAGCAGGAACCTGCCCAGGGAATGTGGGATGAACCCAGCACAGCCCATTCCATCTCCCTGCTCCCTTGGGAAGGAGGAAGGGCTGGGAAGAGTGAGGAGAAGCCGCTTCTAAAGCATTTTCTCTCTCATCACCCTGATTATTTTATCAATATCAAATCAAACTCACTCACTGAACACCCCAAATTCCAGCCTGCCCTGGAGCTCGCTGCGGGATCTCTCCCAGCCCATCCCAATCTCTCATCTGGGAATTCCCATCCCAATTCCCTCCCCGATCCCGCAGTGACACTCACTGGCCGTGGATGTCCATGACGTCGGTGATGTCGGCACGCTCGCCGCTGTCGATCAGGAGGTGCAGGGAATCCGTGTTCCCGTTGGCAGCTGGACGGGGGGAGCGGGAAATGGGGAGGAGGAAAAATGGGAGGAGGAAATGAGGGAGGAGGAAATGAGGGAAGAGGAAAAATGGGAGGAGGAAAAATGGGAGGAGGAAAAATGGGAGGAGGAAATGAGGGAGGAGGAAATGAGGGAGGAGGAAAAATGGGAGGAGGAAATGAGGGAGGAGGAAAAATGGGAGGAGGAAATAAGGGAGGAGGAAATGAGGGAGGAGGAAAAATGGGAGGAGGAAAAATGGGAGGAGGAAATGAGGGAGGAGGAAATGAGGGATGAGGAAATGAGGGAAGAGGAAAAATGGGAGGAGGAAAAATGGGATGAGGAAATGAGGGAGGAGGAAAAATGGGAGGAGGAAAAATGGGAGGAGGAAATGAGGGAGGAGGAAAAATGGGAGGAGGAAATGAGGGAGGAGGAAATGAGGGATGAGAATGGGATGAGGAAAAGGGATGAGGAAATGATGGATGAGAAAAAGTGGGATGAGGAAATGAGAGGTAAGGGAAAGAGGAGTTAGGAAATAGGGATGAGGAAAAGAGGGATGAGGAAATGAGGGATGAGAATGGGATGAGGAAAAGAAGGATGAGGAGAAGGGATGAGGAAATGAGGGATGAAAAAAGAGAAACAAAGAAAAGAGGGATGAAAAAAGAGGGATGAGGAAAAGAGGGATGAGGAAAAGAGGGATGAGAATAAATGGGATGAAGAAAAGAAGGATGAGGAAAAGGGATGAGGAAATCAGGGATGAAAAAAGAGGGATGAGGAAAAGAGGGATGAGGAAAAGAGGGATGAGAAAAAGAGGAACAAGGAAAAGAGGGATGAGGAAGAGAGGGATGAGGAAAAGAGGGAGGAAGAAGAGTGACAAGGAAAAGATGGATGGGGACAAATGGAATACGGAAAAAAGGGATGAGGAGAAGATGGATGAGGAAAAGAGGGATGAGAAAAAGTGGGATAAGGACAAATGGCATAAGGAAAACAGGGACAAGGAAAAGAGGAACAAGGAAAAGAGGGATGAGGACAAATGGGATAAAGAGAAGAGGAAAGAGGAAAAGAGGGATGAGGAAAAGAGGGATGAGAAGATAGATAAGGAAAACAGGGATAAAGAAAAGAGGGACGAGGAAAAGAGGGATGAGAAGGTGGATAAGGAAAACAGGGATAAGGAAAAGAGGGACAAGGAAAAGAGGGATGAGAAGGTGGATAAGGAAAAGAGGAGTGAGGAGAAGAGGGATGAGGACAAATGGGATGAGGACAAATGGGATAAGGAAAAGAGGGATGAGGACAAATGGGATGAGGACAAATGGGATGAGGACAAATGGGATGAGGACAAATGG